TTTAATTTTTTAAAAAAGCAGATTTTTACTTTTTTTATAACATTTATTTTTTTAAAAAAATAGACATCCAAATAGATATTTTTTTAAAAGTGCTTTTTTTTTCTTTCTAAAAAAAGCCATCCAAAGAGGCGAATATTTTGGATAATATATATAGAAACTGTTTTTATTCAAATGCAACATGGTTGGATATGAATGTAATTTGTGATTATTCTTATACAATCTGAAATAACTTTTTTATTGCTTCCTCTAAAAACTAAATTTCAGCATTTTGACTACATCATTTTGATATCTTTGAGAGATAAATACTCTTTCACCCTCAATCAAATAACTTTTTCGCTCATACTTTTGATAATTGAATACGTAAAACTGAAGAGGTGTAAATGGACTTAACTGGGTTGGGCTTTAACTTAAATAGGTCATGTCTATGTAATATACTTTAGGCTTGACTTGATCTGTTAGTTTTGTGTAGGTTCAAATTATAAGTCTGGTCTGACCTATATTTAAAAAAAAAAAGTCATGACATATGTCTATTAGCATGTTTAAGCTTATTAGACATTTAATAATTAAAATATTATTATTTTATTATTCAAAATTATTTAAATAATAATTTTATTTAAAATAATGTGATATAAGTCGACTTGTAGACTTATAGGACCAACATATAAAATAAGTCTGTAACTCGCTTTCTAAATAGGCTTTTTTAAAAGTCTAAGCCTTTTCTATTTAACTATATATGATAAGTCGAGTCTGACCTAATATAGGAGCGAACTTACGATGGTCCCGGACCAAAAAATATTTGGTGGGACTGAGGTGAGAGGAAGAAAGAAAAAGTTGAGAAGAGAGGAGAGAGAATAAAAAAAAATTTAATACAGATGTCAATTTTTAAGTGGAAGAATCACGGTGGTCCTGAAACACATTAAAAATTTCCCTAATATAGGCTGAGCCATAACTTATATTAGACCGTCTGACCCATTTATAATCCAACGTAAAAGTAAATCTTTTATACAATCTAAAATAAACTTCTTGTCTTAAAACCATTTACAAATTTATGTACCAAGACACTAATAATTTCAAAACCGTTGCATTATTTATCTGATGTTCGTTTGTTATTATTGCCCTTTGATTTTGTTCAAGTGGACATATACAGTATTTTTTATTACTTAATTATAATATTATTATTAATTACATAATTTTTAAATTACATATTTATTTTTTAATTTTTTGGTTGTATTTATCGAGACATAAGTTTAAAATTATAACCATTTTTAAATAATTCAAACTCTACCACTTATCCACTCATAAGTAATTTATAACCTAGTACAAAGACGCTGTGCATAAAACCATATACAATTTTTTCAACCCAATATGCTTCTGTTTTTCTTATGCAAACCTTTTAGAAACTATGAGACTGACAGTGTTAACTGAAGAATCATCTTTTCATAATATAATAATTCTTTTTAGGATTTCAATTTTCTCATTGAAGATAGGTATTTCATGCTATAGACACACTTTGTGTGAGGCCCACATTTATTAAAAAAAATATTGGTAGAAAAAAACAACCCTCCTGCAACAACATGAGATCCCCCACCCCCTCCCTTCCTTATTTTTAACCACATAAATAGCAGAGAGCCGAAAGAAGATAAAGAAATGGTATCCTTGTCCCTCAAGGAAAGGAAATATGGAACATGAACCAATCTTTAGTTCCATTCTTTCCCTTCAGATGTATCCTTCCTGACCTCAAACTTCAGTATAGCCCACTTAAAGGGGTGCTTCTCACACCCCACATATATATTCCTATCTTTTTGAAAAACTTGTTCCTTTTCTTCAAGGACAATTGTGACGGAGATCTTTGCAGAGAGCCAAAAAGTCTCAAGTTCAACTCTAATTTTTAATGTATGTTATCATTGATTCCTAAATTTTATAAACTAAACAAAGTGATTCATTTTATCTAGCTAACAGTAAATTTGATTTTGGTTTAATATGTGACCGTAATTTATTGGATAAAATTGACAAAAAAAATATATTTACTTTTACCACCTCTGAGTCTCTTCATTTCTTCAATCTTGTTTCGCTTTAGAATTTTGAGGATCTTATGATTGAAGAAACGATCAAGAACATGTGTCCTCTCCTTAGTTTGTATATCATTGATAAGACAAGGATACAAGTTTGCGGGAGGTCTCTTTCCTTGTGAATGTGCAATTTGCATCAAACGGGAAAACGCTTTCTTCTCTGCCTTTTTCTCTGCAAGATATTAGGTCTAGGAAGCAAAAAAAATCCAAGTGATTATTAGAGTACAAAAGGGAAAAACAAATTGAAGAGAGATAACATATTCAGGATCCACCTCAGGTTAGATACATTGGCTACAGTTATTAAATGTTTGGATGTTCCTCATAAACCCCCTAAGTCTTTCAAACCAAGAATCCTCAAGCCAAACACAGTAGATGAAAGGGGATCAAAAGCACAAATTCAGTTGAAACATTAGACGCAGTGGCGGAGCCAAGAATAAATTTTAGGTGGTGCCAAAAATTTTAACATATTAAAATATTTATCATAATTATCTAAATTTATCAGAAAAAAATTTACTATGAATTCTAGCATGTTTATCTAAATTTGCACTCATTTCATTAAGTCTACACATGAGATGAGTGCATTAGTATGTTGTGAACAAGGATCATCTCCCATGTGACTTAGAAAAGCACAATACTTTCCAGTGTGAACTCTATGCCAACTGTTAAAACCTTTGATTGTGAATACATCCCAACCTTGTCGTCCGCCGACCTTTTTAGAGAAAAGATAACATGGTAAACAAAATGCAGCATCTATATAAGGTGAGTGTATATATATATATATATAGGGCTTATCATTTCTCAAGCTGCTTGAGACAATGTTATCTCTTGCTACTAAATCATAACCGTACAAAGATGGATCAATGGTGATAAAGGAAGAGAGAGAAAAAGGAAATCATAGCCATTCAAAGGTGAATCAATTAATATAAGGAAATAAATAAACAAACCGACGTAGTTTTGGGGTGGCCGGAGATAAACTTATCTCAATCAACTTAAGAAATGTTTAGATATATATGTTTTTTTAGGAAAAACATATATATATATATATATATATATATATATATATATATATATATATAGGGCTTATCATTTCTGCAGTCGCCGTAGAGAGTGTTATCTACAGCTGACACAGAAAAGTGGGCCCCACAGCGTTTAAAAAAAAAAAAAACCCAGGATCCGGTGCCGTATCCTAGCTTGCTGTAGGTGCAGCAGCTGCAGAAATCATTTTGTCATATATATATATATATATATATATATATATATATATTAACAAACAATTACAGTTATTTGAAGCGAGCTTTCAGCTTTCAGATTTTTATATTAACAATCCACTATCTCTAATTTGTAAACTAAGTAAAACAAACCAAGTAAAACATGTAGGAACGTTGGAACCAATAAAACAAATAAAACAAGGGGAAAACTAATATGATGTAACATGATATAAATTTTTTTATCTACACACACATTGGTTTCCACACTAGCATTTTTTATTTTGTTTTTATTATATGTATGGGACCCACATGATTTTTGTTTGAGTAGGAAAAATGCTTTAGATTATGTTACATGATGATAGGTTTACTCATAAAACAAACCAAGTAAGACATCAACAAAAGTACATAACGTTTGAACCCACATAACAATAAATCAAGAAAATGCAAAAAAATAAAGATAATCTGATAATCCTCAGTAGCTCACCGAAATAAAAAAAAATAAAAAAACAATATAAAAATAAAATTACCAGACTACCAGAGGATGAGATGAGGGGAAGCAACTCCATCAAACCATCACGAGTAGTCAAACTTCATATTTTTCCTTTGAGCATCACTACCAGACAACCTTTTTTTTTTTAAAGCTTTCAAAATGAACCCCCATTCTTGCATCTCCCTCCGTGCTGTAACGGGCTCGGCTCGGCAGACCAAGCCCGTCAAACGGGGCGGGGCGGGTTGAGTTTTTCAACCCATCTCAAAAGCGGGGCGGGGTGGGCTCATTTTTTGGCGGGTTGATGGCGGGCATAGGCGGGCCGAGGCGGGTCAGTGTAAAATAGGTTCGGGCTGGCGGGCTAACCCGCCAAACGGGACGGGGCGGGGCGGGCTGGCTCATTTTTTGGCGGGTTGATGGCGGGGTGGGGCGGGCCACCCACTTTGCCACCTCTAGCTGTAACGAGAAGACCTTCGAGCAACGTGCCTGTCGAGTTGCGTGTTTGTTTGGGTAACTTGTAGCTAGACTAAAGTAGAGACAGAGAGCAGAGATCTGACTTGGATAATTTGTAAATATATTTTAATTAAGTCACAAGAAGTGGTGAAATATTTGGATAATTTGTATTAAGTTGTGTGTTTAATTTCTATTTGTATATCAAAAAAATATTTTAATTTTTAAGTAGTGCCAAATTGTAATTTTAACCATAACTAAATTATAATTAATTATATATAGTAAGTACAATTTATTAAAAGTAAGCTAGTGCCAAGGTATCAACAGGCACTAAAGTGGCTACGCCACTGATTAGACATCACTACAAAAATTCAAGTATTTTGTGGAGGTTATATTTGCAAATTGTGAGGGTCCGACTATATATATTTGTGGCATTCATAGAAAACGTCACTATCGCATGCGCCGCAACATAATTTTTGTCATTTTTGTGTGCAACGCCACAATTTGTTGAAGCATTTTTCTTGAGATTACAGACCCCACAATATGTTACACTTTTTGGAGTTCATTAACCTCCACAATATAATTGCATTTTGTGGAGGCTTTAGACCCCCAATAAGTGAGAATAGAAAGTTTAACACATATAGGCTTAGGAGCGGGCCCCATCATTTATTCAAGTCACATTGATCCAATAATTAATTCAATGACCTAAAACCAAAAGAAATAAAAAAAAATTACTAAAAAGTAAATAAAATCATATTATATAAGTAATGAATTTACTAAAAAGTAGTTTGGGAAAGAATTACAAATAAGAATAATTATAAAATTTTAATGCAATACAGAGAAATCTACCAAGCACTGCAGGACATATAGACCAAGAAGATCTCGGAGCTTCTCCTTTGCAACACTCTCCTGTTGTAAAAGTGAAAGAAAAATGTCAGCCAAAAACTTGAAAATAAATCAGTAATTTAAGTTTTCCTTGCAAAGAAAAAGATAAGTTGTTTTAAAATTGAAAAACCAACTTATTGCAAACTTCACATATAGAATTTGCAATCTGAACAGCTCTGTCAAATACACCCTCAAGGTCTGCTTCATCTGACTCCAAAGACACAGCCTTCAATACATTAAGAATCATAGGAACGGCTTCTTTTACTTGCTCAAACTGACGCCTCTGAATGGAGAAAAAGACTGAAAAGGAAAAATAAGTATGAATGAAAACTTTGAAGCAATGTGGCTTCAAATCATTGATAGAGCATTTAGGTTTTGCATTTCATCAAGAAAGATACCTTCAACTTGAACATTATAGCTTAAATACTAAGACAAATGCTCCATTGGTCTTTATGTTAAAAAAAATTGAGCCCATTAACAAGAGCATAGACAATCTAAAATCAAGCTGAAGCTACCTTAAGAATTTTTTTTATCTTTTTTTTTTTCTTTTGAAATTTGATATAAAAATCCAATCTTAAAATATGACTTGTTTATTCTTCACTGTATTTGAAGGTTTAAATAAGATTTCGACAAAGCTCTCTTATCTTCCAGACATCCAAATAACTACTTCAATTGTCGTTCCAAAGCAATATAATTTTTTCACCAGAAAAAAAAAAAAAAATGCAATATAATTCTTTCTCACCCTTATCATACCACTTTACCCAAACAATACTTTGTCTCGCATCAGTTTTGCTAAAGTCCTCTTAAACTCAAGATTCAAATCACTATATTCAACCCAATAAAGTTAGACACATATGAATAGTTCAAAATGCTGAAGCAAAAGCACACAGTCTTGTTAGAAATTGCTTCTCTAGCTTCATCCTTCAATTAGACATGTGATCAAACTTTAATAGACAATATCCATCCCTTTTAAAACATCTCTTTCAAATTTATCCTATTATTTTCTTATCAAGTAAGGGTGGTGAAAAAACAAAACATAAAGACCTTCAATAAATCTCAATAAACCAATTAAAATAAAATTAATATTGTATTCAATTTTCTCAATATTAACATAATATAATCACAAATTCGAGGCAACTCAGGCTGCGAACAACAAACTGAGCTTGGATTGTAAAGGTGAGAGAGGATAAGAAGTGCTTTCTCTTTACACCAAACCAAGAACAGTTAAGGTTAAAGATAACCAAATATAAAGTTCATAGCAAGAATCCAATTATGAGTTTCACATGCTGAAAGAAACAAGAAAAAGAATATAATCCTTCAAAGTCCTACGTTGGGTTTAGAAAATTTGATGTCTAGAATATAATCAATTTGATGTCTCTGATAAAGGAAGGACTAATGTGATGTAATATCTTTGAAAGCAAATTTGCCATTCCTGAAACTGATATTAAAACATCAATCGATGTTGTGTTTATAAAAAAGTTGTGTTTATAAAAAAGAGACTTATCAATTTTTAATAAAATAAGATGAGATGAAAGAAATAACAGGGGAAAACAGGAGTAAAAGATACCATCCTAAACAAAAACAGAAAAGGAACGACAATAACCTACACATGGTTAGGAAGAATTCTATCTTTCTTCCTTTACATCCTTTCAAAATCAAGACAGTATTGATTTATAATTACAGCACCATCAATTTGGAAAAAAATTGATAGAGTGCAGCCAAATCCTTTTCCATCAATGAGAAACAAATTAACAACCATTTGTTCCCCGAAAGTATCAGTTTTGAGCCAATAATTAACCATGCAGTGAAACAAAATTCATGCCGTGAGTCATGACAAGCAACATAAAGCCCAACATGAAATGAAATCACAACAGAAAAAATGGAATCATCAAAGTGAGTCAGCAATACAAGACATCAACAATACAATTCCAGATTTTCTTTTTTAAAAAAAGAAAAAAGTAGCACCATGTAAGTCAGACATTCTCATCAGCCAATTTGAGAAGGAGCACCATGTAGTTCAATCATATATTTATTTGTCAAGGTATAAAATTAGGGTGCGGGGGGGACTCTGGTGCTTTTTGAATAGGAAGAGTGAAAAGTTTAAGCCATTTTACAATTACAGGCATTGCGATTAATTCCTGACTTCAACTAATTATCAAATTATCAGTTTGTGACAATGTAGTAAGCAATGGCTACCTATAAGTGTAGAGCCAGAAGCATTATGCAATAAACCTCTTATAACTGGGATAAATATAATAGTAATAATACAATTATTAGGAATGGAAAAAGGGTTTATCACTTACTTTGACATAACCAATGCGACGATCGAGGTTCAAATGTAGGTTTATCATCCTCTTGCACTTCCTCATGCACATCAGTGACCATAATAATCTATCCTTCAACCGCTGTAGCAAAGGAAAAAAATAAAATAAAAATTGAAAATTGTAAAATGCAAAACCCTAATCCACAAACTACAGGTTAAGTTCATCGACAATGAGAAATTGAACAAAGCAGAGAGAGAGGAGAAGGAAATGAGAGACTCACCATTGGGGTCGATGACGAGCTTCTTGGTGGAAGAAAGAAAGAAGACAAAGATTGAAGGTTAAGTTCATCGACAATGAGAAATTGAACAAAGGAGAAGGAAATGAAATGAGAGACTCACCATTGCTGCATCATCTCCCTAAACATTGGCAAACATCTTGGCGCGCATTTTTTTTTTGTAGTGGTAAAGTTGTAGCGGTCGTTAAATAACTTTTAGAAAATATTCAAAATTATGAAAATATTTCATAAATGTTTTGGGGTCAAAACTTGTCACAGTTATATAATTTGACTAAAATAAAAGTACAATGTGGCGATCCCAAAAAATGCCACAATTTGTCTATTTTTTTGGAGGTTCTAATGACCTCCAATAAATAACCTCCACAAATGATATACTTTTTTGTAGTGCATGTATGTGACTAATGCATTTCATATTTTAGTTTCTTAATTACCCTGAACTTGCAGAGAGGGCTGGGCTTTAGTTAGAAGTTCTCATTACACAAATGGAAGGAACTAAAAATTTAACTTCACCTCTTTGCAAGCAATAAATAACTCCCATAAATTAGTGCCAACTAATCCCTTGAGGAATTCATAGCAAATTGATAACAGCAGCATGTTTTAATATTAACATATAACTCGAAAGGAATTTTAAGAAACCAATTAAGTAACTTATTACCTATTTGTTGGAAAAAGACCACTTGCGAACATCACAACCATCAGAGAAACATATACGTACATAATCATCAGAGAGCAGAAAAAAGATACAGACATATACTTTTTCACAGTGGAAATGAGAACTTGTAACAGAATTAGCTCCACGTTGAAGAACTCAATCCACCCCCAAAAAGCTCGAGTTCATGAAAAAGGAAACAGAGAAAGAGAGAGAATGAAACTTCTTTCATCTTCTTAATGGGAAAAAGTTTAGTTCTCTATTGAGAACAAGAATACAATAAAGAATATTATCAATGATCACTGTTGAGAACAACAGTAAAATCATGCAAAATTCAAAATTTCCAACAATGACATTAGTCAAAACTGATTTAGATCAATGAAGCATGAACTCTGCTTATTGCTGAGGTGAGGTGACGGAGTGTTGAACACGCTGTCTTTGGTGGAACAAGGTTGATTTCATACTTTCTTTCACTAGCCCCATCTATATGATATTCTAAGAAAATCCAATACGGAAGCTTCATCTCTCCACTTAGTGTGTGAAATGTGGGAATCAATAATTGAAAAGGTGAAGAAGGCCATAAATTAGTATTAACGAAAGGAGGGCCATTAAAAGGGGAATTAACAGAAACAATATTACAGGGGGATTGGAAGGGCCATTAAAAGGAACAACCAAACATTAAGCATGCATGACATGAATCTTTATGGAACTCAACGAGCTCCATACTTGGTATTATATTTCTATTTAGTAGCCTTAGAAAAAAATTCATTGAATGTAAAAGAAATATGTACATAGCACTCAACATACACACAAAAGCAGCTAAAATGGGAAATAAAAATCGGGACAAGTTCAAAACCTCACTGTACAAGAAAGTGTATTACTTGGCCATTAGGATAAATACAAAACTACTTAACTCAAACAGCAAAAAAAATCAATTCATAAAGAATGTAGACATTGTATCTAGTCTTTGTTTAAAATTTTAAATAATTGATAACAGAACATGGCATACACCTAGCTCATACATGAAAACCTATCCATCTTCTAAAACTTCCAACATCCCTCCCTTCAGAAACTGCCATACCTATTCCAACTCTTCCTCCATTTCCAACACCTCTATAATACAACCTCCACTCATTTTCTTCTGTATCCATATGAACCAGACATGGGGATCCAACATCCTTATCATCCCAGCAACCTTTGTCTGATAGCTTCAAAATCCCCTCATCTTGAAGCCTCACCCATTCCTTCAGTCCATCAGGAGAAATAGCCATACCAATGCTCCTCCTCCCATCTGCGGCAACACCTTCATATGCCATCATATAGTTCCCATCACTCCGGTTCCTCCTCACACATGGGTTTACTGCTCCAAACTCATCAAAAGAACCAGCTTTTCCTCCCCCCATTATTTTTCCCAACTTGACCCACTTGATTCCATCCCTCGACCTAGCAATCCCAATAGCAAAGTGCCCTTTTTCCACATCAAATGAATGATAATACATCCTGAGGTCACCATTCTCATGGTAAACAACATGTGGAGAAGAAATAAACAAAGAATCCCACTCCTTCTCAGAACCAACATCAAACAATGCTCCACTGTGATGCTCTCCTTCAATCCTAGCCCAATGCCTCCCATCTTGACTAATAGCCAAACCAGGCAAGGACTTGAAAACTTTCCCATTACCACAATTCTCATGATTCACACCATCTTTGATGAAACACCTATCTGGATTCTCCAAACTGAACTCCAAAGAATGATCAGAAAACTCTACCTTCTCAGAGCTGTAGCCAGTGTAGTAAAGCCAGTAAACAGCAGTGGAAGCTCTAACCCTATAACTAGACATGATTACCATCTCAGAAGGCCTAATGCCATCAGTATCAAAAGCCCACCAATCCTTACCACAATTCATCACAAAACCCACATCAGAACTCGACCCAGCAGGCCCTCCCCCACGCTCCCAATGAACCCCATTGCTCGAAATAGCTAACCCTATCAAATCAGAAGATGGTTTCCCATTAGGCCTTCCATGATACCACATATACCATCTCTCTTCTTCATCACTGAGAAACCTCTTCACCACTGGCGATCCAATATCCGCACTGTCCCACGAGTTTGAAGGACCCAAATCAAACACCAACCCTCTCAAAGAAGAAGAAGAAGAAGAAGATGGCTGTGAAGGTGGTGGAGAAGAAAACGCTCCTTCACATGCCGCATCTGATTCCGATGCCTTGTGGCACTTGGAAACGGAATCGGGTTCATCGTTTGGCGTGCTGTGTGTCTCACTGTTGGCGCTGGTGTCTGGTTTTGTGGAGCAACGCAAGAAAGATGGGAACTTTGTGGTGAGGGCAGAGTTTGTGGACACCAGAGTGAGGGTGTTGGGTTTGGGGGAAGATACCCACGGTCGAATTAAGTTTGTTGGGGTGGTCAAACGTCGGAAATTGGAAACTTTTGAACGGGCAATGTTGGGTTTCAATGGTGGAAGTGCCATTGATGATGATGATGCTGCATCCATGGCTGTGGAATGAGTAGTGACTCGGCGATGTGGGGCTGCTTAATGCTGATGATGCATACGTGTTTGAGGACCAATTGAATGAACGGTGACAGCAGAAAAAAAAAATGAATTAGAAGATGGGAATTCGAATGAGACCAAAGAGATGTGTGTGGGTGTTTTTGTGGTGCAAATTTCACTAAAAGGGTGGAAAAGAAATGTGATTAGAGGAGTCTCTGTTTGTCTTTTTTAACCTTTGCAGATTGTAATCTCTGAAAAAAAAATTGGGTGTGGCCGGTGCTGCTGTCAAAGCATGGTGGTGGCCTATTTACCCTATGAAAGAAGGATTTTTTTTATTTCTTTTCTGTTGGATCAGAAGATGGGTTTCCTTCCACTTTCCACGCAAGAGATTATAACTAACTTGCAAGGAAAATGTCACTCTCAAAGATGATCCAATTTTGCACACGAATTCAAATCATGTTTAAATGGCTTTATTGTTGATTTTAGGATACAAATTTGCGTGCCGTAATTTATGCTATCAGTAAATATATTAAGTCTAAAAACTTAAATGAAGTTTATTAAATGATTGTAGTATTATTTTTTGATAAAAATATAACATGTTTATCATTTTTTAACCATTTTATCTTTTCCTTGAAAGTTTTCATTGTTGGAATATAATCGTGTTATATTTTCATTAAAAAAGAAAACTTCGAAACACACAAGGATCTAAGTATTCACCTAATATTAATCGGATCAGAAAGGATAATAATTAATAAGTTTGAAGAAAGAGACTGACATATATATATAAATCCAATAATTTCCGTTAGCTTCTTTTCGTTTGATTTTGCTCAAGTCTAAAGTCTAAACCTTTTTGAAACCAGTACAGTGAAAGTGACCACTAAAGAATAATCTTTACATATTATAGTAATTCTTTTATAATCTTTTCGTAATATAATATTTCTTTTTAACAGCGTAAGCATCACAGGTTCGAAGAAGATAAAAAAAATTGTATTGCTGTCGTTCGAAGAAAGGAATGTATCTGGAACATTAAAGCTAACCAATCTTAAGTTAGTATCATTCATTCCCTTCTGCTGTTCTATCTTTCCTCAGATTGTACTTTACCATTATTAAGAATATCTCTGTCTTAAGTGTTTTTGTACATGCTAGAAATTCTAATATTGTATGAGTTATTCAATCACTGACCTCAAGTTTGGCTACTACTTAAATCATCCTTTATAAGTTTTCACGCACACAGTAATATTCATTATTTCAAAAATCATGCTAATTTAAAACTCTGACCTGTTTAATATGGTACTATGAATGTATAGAATTTTCGGTTTTATCAAATCATTCACATGTCTTACTTTTTATTAAATTACTTTCTCACCTAATTTTAAAATAAATTATTTATTAATGATTTAACAAAAGTAAGACACTTATCACATCCTGAGCAGAAGATACACCGAAAACTCGGTGCATCCATAGCGCTAAAGATATTCTCCACGAATTGTATCGACAGATCAATAAACAATTAAAGCAACTACAGAAAGAAAATTCTTCAAAAAACCTTAACTAATCAAACAATGCAAATTTCGTCCACTGGAAGAAGCCGTGCTTCTAAATATTTGGGAGGATCTATCCTCACTTTGTTGCAAGTAGGATAACATATAAAGACGGCGACAACAAAATTATAGCAGATTTACAATAAGAAATCCATTGTTAATAGTTTAAGGTTTTTCAAACTCCAAAAGTGGTGGCAAAATTTGTTATCAAAATTGGGGCTACACATACTATCAAACCCTTTGCAGCAAGTAATACCTATCTGTATGTATGTTATCAGGGAACATTTTCATAATGGCATATGCAAAGAGACTCCATAAAAGACCGGTTAATGAACAAATTGACAACAAAATAGAGAGCTAAACACAAGATATCAGCTAAACGCAAGCACTAGCAACTAACAAACAAACCTACATAGTAGCCTGGAACAAACGACACTGCCATGAAATTTTGGTAAAACTTTCAAGTGCATTTGATCTAATACGACAAATAAAAACTTCATCTAATATCAGAGCAGAAGTACGCACTTTTCAGTGGCTGACTGGCACATATTATTGTCAAATCCCATTTGTTCAAGAGCCAAAGTTTCCATTTATTGTAACTTTGCCCCTATAAATGTCACCAATCACCCCCTCTGAATCTCTCCATTGACTCGGCTTTTCTTTGTTTCACAAGTTCAAGTATCTTCGGATTGAAGAAACGATCACGAACGTATTTCCTCTCCTCAGCTTGTATCTCCTTGATAGGACTAGGATATGGGTTTGGAGGAAGTCTCTTTCCTTGAAGACGTGCAATTTGCTTCAAACGGGCATATGCTTTCTTCTTTGCCTTCTTCTCTGCCACATATTCCATCTAGGAAACAAAAAAATCCAAGTGATTATTAGAGGACAAGAGAGAAAACAAATATCAGAAATGAAACCAATTCAGGTTACTTACATCGGCAACGGCCATTGCTTGTTCCTCACTGACGCCCTGCTCTTTCAATTCAAGAACTCTCAAGCCATATATACGAGATGGAGGGGGATCAAAAGCACAAATCCTGTTAAAACATTAAACAAAGGTATGAATAAGTGACTAATGCATTTGATGCTTCAAATGGAGTTAGCGCTTATTTAAGAGTTCTCCTTACACAAATGGAGGCAACTTAGAAAAACTTACCTTACTCTTTGCATCTAATATGTATCTGACATCAATTACAATTAGAAACAACTATTCCATTGAAGAACTCTTAGCAAATTGATAGAACCAGTATATATTAATATATTTTTTTATCGAGCAGCATATATAATACAAACATAAAACTCAAAATGAATTTTAAGAAACCAAGTGAATCATACCCTTTGTTGGAAAAGAACATTTTAGAGCCTCACAACAATTAAAAAAACATATAAGAAAGCAAAGAATTATCATCAGATAACAGAAACAGGGATGCAGACATACGCTCTTTCACAGTCCAAGTGAGAAGTTGAAAAAATGGTTATTGGTTGACAGCTCATGACATGAGTAGTTCCATATTTAGGAACTCAGTCCACCCCCTGAAAGGGCAAGTCAACCAAATTGAAGAAAGAGAATGAGAGAAAACTACGCTATTTTCCACTGTTTTGACGGAAAAGAACTCAGACTATACACTTGAATCCACTCAAAAAGTAGCTCCAGATGAGAAATCTTCATTATTACTAGAGAACATAACCAAATTCCAAATGCTCTTAAAAAACAATGTGATGGGTCTGTTGCATAAACATATTTGTGTAACTCAAAAGGCTAACATAACCTCTCAATCAACAAAATAAACATTGGTCGTGATCATGAAATGATCAGTATTGAGAACAAGGGGTACAATCACATTAGAACTCAAATTTTCAAACAAATGTTTTGGACGTTAACTAAGCAGTTTATGTGCTTACTTAGAAATTCAGACAAACAATCGAGCTAAACAGCAGGACTCAATCTAAAAAATCCCATCCAAAAGCACTATAGTTAGAAAAGACGCACAGAAGTTATTTATCACTATTGTACCAGGAATCAAATTGGAACTTGAAAGCTAACATTTCCCCATTCATGAATAAAAAATTAAAATATCAACTACAAATTTCCCTCGTGACCACATCATATCAACATATAGAAACGAAACTCATAAGAAGATAGCACATCATACAGCAATACAAAAATAAGGATTAGATGCCTGAACACTGCAAATGGAAAAACTACAAAGAAAGGAAAAAGGTTCATACTTGATGGCATCATGGTATTTGGAATCCGGGTATTTTTTATAAAACTTCTTCACATAAACATCCTCAGGAAGAGTGATAGTCTGAATTTTTGCCTCAGCTCGAGGAAATGTTGCAGGAGGCGCTCTGGTAAACACAGTCAAAAGAAAATATTAGGAACATTTTCACCCTTCTGAAAAAAATCAAAGGCCACAAAAAGATTAAACACTATGCTTAAATAAATGTTCAGAATAAAAATTCAGTGGCAAACACATGGCATCCCAAAAATTCCTAAAATCATCAAACTCAGAAAGTGCAGTGTAGACCAAGACTGGAAAAATAAACACCACAAGCACCATAATCATTAGGGTGATTAAAAAATGAAATAAAACAAACATTGTATAAAAGATACCATTTTGGAGGAAAAGAGGCGTCACTAATAAAAACCCAGATGGGAATTACCAAAGGGCACAAGAAAAAAACTAAAATCAAAAGGAAAAGGCAGTGATTGGATCTGAAAGTGGGTGCAAAGATGAAAGATTAGGAGACAAACTGTTCCATGGCTTTGAGCCACACTGGTTCGGACTTTGCCAAACCCTTAACGAGCTTTCTGGTTCGAGAAAGCAAATCTCCTCTCGTAAACAACATCGTTTATGCTTCTTCTTCCTTCTTCCTTCTCTCTCTCTTTCTAGCTAGAAGGGTCAAAAAGTCACAAAATTCATCTCAAAACACATCACAAGGGAAAAATTCCTCTATGTTTAGACCCGGTTTTTTTTTTTGTAAACCGGCTTGAGGGCATTTCCTATCTTCACCGGTTCGGCTTAAATTTTAGTTGATCTAAATTTTTTTTTTTTTTGGTAAATTAATCTAATTATTAAAGGGGAAGTATATTGTAACAACCAAGTTGTGTTAGTACCATGTTACTACCAATCAATTTCACCGTTAGATCGATTATGTTGATCCAACGGTTATATTTATTTCTATCTTTGTATGGTCATAATTTCTCAAATTTAATACTTTGTATGGTTATGATTTCTCATATTTAATGCTTTCACTTTAAATTTGGAAAATCATAATCATACAAAGATTGAAATAAGTATAACGATTGGATCAACATAATCGATATAATGATGAGATTAATTGATAGTAACATGGTAATAACACAACTTGATTGTTACAATATCCTTTCCTATTTTTAAAATGCTAAATATTAGAATAATTACTTTGCGTATAATATAAGGGCATTACTTTTTTGTAGCCGTGGCAAGAAGTAATATCTGACACAGAGATATTCCTATATAAAGTATTAAAAATGAATTAAAAGAGATAAAATATTTAAAAAGTTATTTAAGATTATATGAAAAATACATAATTATAATCTTAAAAAGTATAAATTAAAATATAAATCTTAATACATCAAACCCTAAGCTGAGAAAACTATCAAGCAGTTAATCTGTTGACATAGATGATTCGAATTAAACCACATTGCAACCTACAAATTCTATAAGAAAACAATTTAAAAATTACAAGTAAGAAATTTTTTTTATCCAAAAAAAAAAATTTGTTGGAAAATAATTTATGCTAAGGTTTAAATGGTGACATAAAAAATTTGATATTAAATTATTAAAGCAGGAAAAAAATCTTAAATGTGGAGTTTTGCAATTATGCATAAAGTCCTTCCACAGTAGTTTAGTTCAACATTTTTACTACATGACTGTATTGCCTGCATATCACTACCATTTTATGCAAATGAAGATCAGCTACATGCTTGCTTTGTCAATAATCTTCTTAAATATTTCAAGGGAACCAATTTCCTCAAGCGTGTTGAATAATAATATGATCCTTGTAGAGAAAGAAAGACAACTTATACCATTGAAGGACTCACCATGATTTGTTATATATAGAACTCACTGGTTATATTAAAAAAATAATATGGTCCTAAGAAAGACACAATTTATATCATGCAATGTCTTATACTAAAAAAAATAATAATTAGTGTCTTATTCCCATGTTATTCAAAAACCTTTTAAATATACATAAGTAGCACATAATTCTATGATGAATTTGCGCTAGAGATAAACAATTATGAAAAGTAAAACAGCAATGATTACACTAATTCCAATTCATTCAAATAATGGCATTAAACTAGCACTTTCCTCTTATCAGATGTCAACAGAAAAAATTTGCATGAGCAACATTGAGAGAGACTCTATCTAGCATAGTTAGACAATGTCAATATACTTTTGAATACAACTCAGAGAAGTAACTATAACACCGCAATTCATTAAGCTTTTCCGTGTGCATGAATCAAACCACCGACTGCAACCTACTTGCAGTACACGTGCCTGTGCTCAAGTCCTCTAGAACACTACATTTTTGGGTGAAAGGAGAGGCAAATGGACACGCAGCACTACCTTGAAGTTCTCTTTGCCAACACATCAACAAGCTAAGAGAGCTTGTTTCAGAGGATGGTTTCTTTAAATGAAAAACTATTCTTTTGAGTGGCAATGCTAAGGTGCTTACGCATTTAACTGAGGAAAATCTCAAAGTGGCTTTGTTATATAGTGTTGTAGAAGTCCCAAGTTTATACTTCTGAGTTCTCCTTCCTTGCTGTTTCTATGTAAGCTCATGTTCATGAAACTTAAAGGGTTCGGTTTGCAAGTTTTGAACTTAAATACTATGTTGTGACCAAGTATTTTTGCTTCTAAAGCTTATGGAAATGCTATGCTATCTTGGATGCAGGATTCCTAACAAGCCTTTAAAATTGTTATCATTAGTTTGCATTTGGTTTTTCATCAACACTTGTGGGACTTCATAGGAATGGCTTGTTAGAATTGACATATTGTTGGGATTTTGCTCTACTCAATATTCATCAATCCTAGGCTGCAATTTGTGTTAACTCCTATTTCCTAGCCTTCATACACCTTGTCTAAGATGCTTTCCTTCTGTTGTTGTTTTATTTTCTTTTGTTATGTAACGTTTTTCAATCTTCTTCAGAAAATATTGAAGTTCAGTCTTGAATATCTCCAAAGAAGAAAAAAGAAGATGACATTTAAGAAAGACTTTAAACAACAAATGGTGCCCGAATGGGAGAAAGACTACATGGACTATGAAGGCCTGAAAAAAATATTGAAAGAGGTCAAAAGCTGCAAACAAGCTACACAACATAGATCCTTGAATCACAGACTCAGCCTTCAAAGAGCATTGGGTGGACTTCGCTTGCATGGTAGCAATCATACGAGGGAGGGAGATATTGAAGACCAGGTTATAGATGTTAAGGCATTAGAGCTAGATGGTTCTAAACAGTTATATAAGACCAAAATTCAAAAGCACCATGAAGAAGGAGGAGAGGCTGAAACAAGATTCTTTCAGAAGCTGGATGAAGAGCTCAACAAGGTCAATTCCTTTTACAAGGATCAGGTGGAGGCAGCGAAGCATGAAGCAACCCTTTTGAGTAAACAAGTGGAGGCTTTTGTTGCACTTCGGATAAAGGTGAAAAACCCTGATCAAGGTAAATGCAAAATTGAAACTGTAGTTTGTTTCGTGCATCCAGTATATATTTTTCCATGAAATAGTCAAAATAAAAGATATAGGATCATAAAGGAAATTAAAACCACATTATATTCATCTATTTTGCCATGCACACGTTAATATCAGTAATGTTTCATTCAGAATCAATACAATTAATTTTCGGAGTTTGAGCTGAATTTGCAGGATTGAAGCAGATTGGTTCCTCAGCTGAAGAGAGTATGGATCAAAATAATCAGAAAATAGATTCTACGGGTGGCCCTGAAGCTGATCCTATTCAACAGGCCAATAGAAATACTCATCTTGAGGATGAAGCACACGATAATTGTAACAGAAGAGATCCCATGGAAATCCTTGAGCAAGTAAAGATTGATGATGCTCTTCAATCTCCAACATCAACAATTAAAAGTGCTTTTACAGATTCCAGTGATGATGAATTAAGCTTCAACAAAGATGAGCTTAGGAAAATTGAAAAGCAACTGAGACTTGTGTTTACTGAGTTCTATCAGAAACTCCTCCATCTCAAAGATTACAGGTAATAAACAATTCATGGCACCTTTTAGTTTCTAATGAAGTCAAAATGGTCTTCCTTTTTCGGAGGGCAGTGTTGCCATATGCTCATGTATTTACAAAAATGGATTCTACAGTTTTCTGAATCTCACAGCATTTTCCAAGATCATGATGAAGTATGAAAAGGTTAGAAGCATATTTAGTATCTGCCAGTTTTCTTAAATACGTTCTTCACAAACCCAACATTTGTATGAAGACATTTCAAAGAAGATTGTTCTGTTCAGAAACAGATTTCTGAAAAGGTTTTTTAAATTGATTTTCTTTTTTGATATGTTTGCTCGGAAAGAGTACATCAAGGGCAGCATCTAGAGCATACATGAGAGTAGTGGATAACTCCTACCTGGGCAGTTCTGATGAGGTTTGTTTGAATCATATGTGTGTTATATTTACAGCATCAATCATGATTATTTCTTCCTAGTTGTGGGATACACTATTCAAAGAACCGAAATGAAAATCTTGAATACCCTATTCACTTTTACTTGTATTAATCACACAAAGAGAAAACCACTTCATCAGTGAATATAAGTTACATTGTAATTTATGTCCTTGAACGGGTGAAGATTGCTGATAAATTACAAAGGGAACTCCTTTGCAACTCTACACAGAAACACAAGTTGTTCTGTTGCATTCTGTCTAAATATATTTTGTATTAGAAATTATTTTGACTTGAAACACAAAAGGCTTGAAATCTATATCAGTATCTTTGTGATAATACTAAATCACTATCCTTCCTTACCATCACCAGTCATCTTAGTGATGCTATCCACTTCATCTGATTTTAGGTTAATTGTCTTTTGGAGAGGGTGGAATCTACCTTCATCAGGAACTTTACACAATCAAATCACAAAAAGGGGAGGAAATTATTAAGGCCAAAAACAAAAAGACAGAGGTACAACATAACATTTTTGTCAGGTAAATAACACAATGCTGGGTAAAATAATAATATGTGAATGATTAAGTTGAAGTGTTGCTCTGAGCAATCTGTTGACTAATGTTCACCTTGTCTTGTTACTTATAGGTTTCTTTTCTGGTTGTTTCCTTGCTCTACTGGTTGCTACTATATTAAGAATAGTATCTCAACATTTGATGAAGAAGCAGGAGGGGACATTCTACATGGAAAACATTTTCCCCCTATACAGGTTACAGTACTTTTTAGAACCTTCTTGACATATATATTGGTATGCTGATCAGAAATTCTACATTTTCTTTTTTGTTTCCTTTATATTCATGATGACTCGTTTTCTTTATTTCCTTACTTTTTATTTTAGAATTCCAGTCTTGTTCTTTGTTTAAGATGGGAATAATTTCTTGCAGTATATATGGATATATCACTCTCCATATGCTTATGTATGCTGCAAACACATATTTTTGGAAGCGTTATAGGGTCAATTATCCATTCTTATTTGGCTTCAGACCTGGAACTGAGTTGGATTATAGAGAAGTTCTCCTTCTAAGCACTGGTCATGCAGTGGTTGCACTACTATGTTTCTTGATAAATTTGCATCTGGAGATGAACCATAAGACAGCCACTGAACTTGTTCCTCTGAGCTTAGTTATTGTAAGATGCTTATTTTGGATAGTAACCTATCAGATGAATCTTTGATATCTAGTTTCAAAAATACCCTTTCCTCACCCATTGGTCCCCATCACAATTTGTCCTTGGCTATATTTAAGTAACTTTTTCAATTTATTAAACTCTTTGTTTCGTGTGCAGCTTGTTCTTTTAATTACCTTTTGCCCTTTCGACATCATGTACCGTTCGAGTCGTTTCTTCTTTTTACAGTGTTTATTTCGCTGCATATGTGCTCCTCTTTTCAAGGTAATAGAAACAAAGACAAAATTTAAATGGCTCGGTAAAATGGAATAGATGCAACTCAAAACCTACTTTTCTTTGTAGGTTAGGCTTCCAGATTTCTTCTTGGCTGATCAGCTTACAAGCCAGGTCTTATGCTCCCATGGATTTCATATATATGCAACCAACATTGATATATTTCATGTTGTAATTAATATATTAATCCATTTTCTGCTTTTGACTTTAGGTCCAAGCTTTCAGGAGTTTTGAACTTTACATATGCTATTATGGCCTAGGAGAACACTCAAGGAGACAACAGAAGTGTCAAAGTCGTGGTTTCTATAACATACAGTATTTCATTGTTGGCATCATTCCTTTCTGGTTTCGCTTTGCACAGGTTCATACAATCTTTTCTTTACATATGCCTTCTGATTTCTTTTCTGTGTGCATCATGGCATTTGTTTGTAGCGATATAGTTAATAAGCTACGTATGGTCTGCCTTTGAATTTGTAAGTTAAAGTGTTATGCACTTATGCCTTTGGATTGTTTATTATGTCACTTGTTGATTGGTTGAAAGGAAGTTTGCACAACCCCAGAACCTGAGAAGAAGTGCCAAAAGACTATTTCTGATTGAGCAATGTTAACAATTGTGATAGCTTATCCTTGATGGGGCTCTAGTTGTTCATGTTTTCTAGTCCTAGATGAATGTTTTGTAAAACCGTTAGATTTTGAATCAAAAAGCCCAACTCAACATATTCGTTTCTGTACCTTAAGTCCAAAGCATTCAGATGCAAATGTAACTAACATCCAACTACCTCCTGTTCATATGTTTATTATAACAGGACTAAGTATTGATTCCACTATAGGAGCTAAAGGTATCTAAAAATTTACTATAACATTTTATTTGTGTAGTGCATGCGTCAATGGTATGAAGAAGGAGATATCACCCATGCATTCAGCGGTTTAAATTCTCTCTCAACAATTGTTGCCATTGTCACTAGGACTATCTTTGAACTAAAGAAGGTAACTACTTGGAAGGTGTTGGCACTCATAAGTTCAGCTGTAGCAGTACTGCAGAACACATATTGTGACATTGTCATTGACTGGGGGCTTCTGAGAAGGCATTCAAAGAACCCCTTTTTGAGGGATAAACTCGTAGTTCCACACAAAAGTGTCTACTTCGTGGCCATGGTAACAACTAGTTGACTGACCAAAGTCAAAGTGGTGTTGTCTCCTATTTATTGTTCTATGGATATTTATTCAATTTCTTTGCAAATTCATAGGTCCTGGACATAGTTCTTAGACTTTCCTGGATGCAGTTGGTGCTGGAACTGAATTGGCGCCCACTTCATAAAGTGGCAATGATTACATTTATTTCCTGCCTTGAAGTTATTCGTCGTGGCATTTGGAACTTCTTTAGGTAACTTCTTTTGGCATAAAACTAGGTGTTTGCTTTTGTATGACCTTTCTAGAACATTTTGGTGTTATAAGAATAGCACAGATGTTACATGATATTTTCTAATCACTCAGGTTGGAGAACGAGCACTTGAACAATGTGGGAAACTACCGTGCTTTCAAGGCAGTCCCTCATCCTTTCAGCTTTTATGATGAGGTAAATGACAAGGACGACTAGTGGCGTTCAATTGAATGCAACACTGCAGCAGCTAGAGTTCAAAGCAAAATATATATTGACTTGGATACTAAACATAGTTTGAAAGAAGCTGGACGTAGAAAAAATTGCTGCCAATATATGTACAATGGTTTGTTTGTTGACCACGTTATGTAAGTGCCAACTTATTAAAAAACAGTATTGCTAATGAAGGTTTGCGTTTGCCCAAATGAAAGTACGACAAGGCGAAGTTCTTGAATTTTATTCCTAGTGATCCCTTGGTGGTGAAGTAACTTTCAATGCACTTCGTTTTCTTTTTACAACCTTTATATGTGGAGCAAGATACTCCAATTTCAAAGCCTTAAATCAATGTGCTTGGCTTCATTTCCCTTCAACGTGAATTCACCACAAAGAAGTGTTCTGATAACACTGAATGCAGGCTTTTGGACAGTCAATTACTAAAATAAGATACACCATCAATATTCAGTTACAAAACTAGAATAAAAACATGTCATTGGATGTTGAGAAAAGCCAATTCAATCTGAATCATGTCTCCTCTTTTCCTTATCTTTCTTGTGCCTCTTCCTGTCATCTGAATCACGAGAATGCCGCTTCTCACGCTTTTCACGTTTCTCTTGCTTCCTGTCCTCACGGGAATTCTGCTTCTCACGCTTTTCACGTTTATCTTCCTTCCTCTCCTCACGTCTTCTCTTCCTTCTACTTTCATCTTCTGAATCATCTTCAGTCTTTCTTGCCTCTTGATTTGGCATAGATACATTTTCCACCTCAGGTGGTGTACCACTGAGCGAAAGCTTTGAAGAACCGGGTTCTTCCCAAGGGCGGGGTTCTCTGCAGACAGTAGAAAATAAGTCACAAAATATTGGCAGAGAATTCCTTGACAATAAAAATGATTGGTGGCATGATAGTTTCGTTTAGTAGCCAAACAAACTGAACCAGCTTACTGTATTTTCGAGATAATCTATTCAAAGTTTTAAATAAACAATCAGCATTCATTTAAACGTGCAATTTTTAAGAGACCGTGTTTCAAAATATTCAAGAATAACCTCTATCTAGTATCTACCATTATTGCAAATGACAACCTAAATATTATACATTAGACCCTAGATATTATTATAAGTATAACACACATGGACAATGTGTGACCGCAAGCAAATCCGCCAAGTTATTCTTAATCCAATCATTTCGTATGATGATCTAAAAAATCAGAAACAACTGAAACAGGAAATAGCAAAAAATAAAGAAAATATAAACAAAAGAAATCCATTTAATGCTTTCAAAAATGTGTTTCTTTCCTGGTTAACTTACCTTGAAAAACCAAGACCTTGAACCCTTGCTGCTTCAGCATGACCTTCACCCAAGTCCTCTGCTGTAGATCCCTTCTTAACCAGTTCTGAAAACTCATGTTTATCAAGACGGTTACCTTGAGGACGGTTAGCACGCTTAGGAGCTAAGCCAAGAGCTTCCCTCATTGCCTGCTCCTCCTCTTCCTTAATTCTTTTTACCTCTTCTTTTGCAGCCTCCATTTCTGCACTATGGGACTTTTTGTCCCTGGCATACCAGAAAAGATCTTTCCCTGTTGAATGAAATGAGATGCTCCGTAAGTAACATCCCTAACTACCGGCTACAAATACATAAATTTGGGAAAGAATATAGAACATGCTTAGTTGGCTAAATCACTATATGACATGATAGCTTCTTAATTAGTTAGCATTACTAGAAAAATAGATCAATGAACTATACTAAAGGAGGAAAAAGCTATCCATAAAGAATAAAATGAGAGAAGGTACTATCCTCTATACAGGTTCAAAAATGAGAGACCTAGACCTGGTCATGTAGGAAAAGAACAAAAATAAAATCTCGTAATAGATTAGCTTATACACTTTTATTCAACTGATTACAATCTCATATTTAAGAACTAATAATGGAAAATAAAATAAGAAGTTTTGAATATGAAGCAAGTTTCCTATCTTTACAGTTATAGAGTGGCTTTATTTAATTTTGGGCGTTATGTGGCCAAACTTGAAAAAGCCCACGGGGCATGGAGATTTGTGGTTGATGTAGAGGAACATAGCTGATAGACGTGGGGCCACAGCCCAACACCAATTTTGGCAGGGCGGCAGGAGGTGGACATAGCCCCCGCAATACAAACATATATATGTATACACACACATAGTCACCTCGTCACATGCATATGTACATATATTGTGAAATCAGTAGTTAGGTCAAGGAAAGTACTAAATCTTAGCAACAGTGAGATTTGGGGTGTATTGGGATTAAGGTGAGCTTTAGGAGGATCAAAGCATCAAACCGAAAGGATTGGATCGGATGAATTTTGCTTCCAAAACCGATCCAACCCAGACCGCGAACACCCCTAGCCTTTCTCACCAAAAAGGACTGACTACTTTCATTTTGATCTTCTTTGCTAATACTCCAGATCCCAGCCCAAAATCATTAATCATACAATTTGATCGTTCTATCAGCCAACCCCCTCCCAAAGTGAACAAATAAATAAGAAAACTTTCACCACCAACTCCAAGTAAGCTCAAAGCATTCTCATGTATGACAATCCTTCCAAAACTAGCAAAGCTAAAGTGCAACTGAAATGATCAAAGCACTAAAGCTTAACGGTGTGATTGCAAACTGTGAAATGACAAACCAATCATTGCCCCAACCACGCACAACAAAAATTGCATTGAATGCTAACAAATTTTCATTGCCATTAGTCATTATGCAATCAATACAAACAGCAAAGCATCATCATCCTAACAAACACTAAATAAATTCCTACTGCTACTTCTTCCACAAATGTAATACAAAGTGAGAAGCAAATCACAAAAGTAGAACTGCAAAAACAAAGATGTGAAGAGCCAAACAATAGTATAATGTTTTTGTTATGCAGCTCTAGCCCTTTTTAAGCATCTTAGAAACAGAAAGCAGATGGATAATTTAACTTTTGTATCCCTTTAGCTCTCTTCAGTCTTCAGTCCTCAGTCCTCAGTCTTCCCCCCTTCTTATATGTTAATTTAAGTAAACAAAGGGCAAACCCCAGTGCAGAAAGGCCACCTGACTTTGCAAGAGTAGGGGTGAGGTCAATTGTACACAGTCTTACTCTTATATTTTTACAAAGTGTGTTTTCTAAACTCGAACTCGTGACCTTCCGGTCACTAAGGAGCAACCTTACCACTACTACAATGCTCACCCTCACGTCAATTTAAGCAAATGAAATTCATAAATCAAACAGCTCGAAAATGTATATTGGATGACATTCATCTGTAAACATAGTTGTAATCTTCTTTAAAAAATACGTCCAAGATATGTAGTTATGTCCAACAACACCGGAAACATTATGGCATAACCTAAACTCCATTACCAAAATGAAGTGAATAGAAATTGTAAATTACTATAGAACAGGTAGCCTGAGGATAGGATATATGGCAGCACTTAGGAGAAGCTAAAGTGTTGGAAGAGAGCAACTCCATGAACATTGGATTAAAAAGTTGGAATTTGAACCTGTATTTGTGCATAAATTTTGTTCTAGATTGAAGACCCTTTTTCAGATCTTTCCACTAGCATCAAATCTTATGTCCTGTTTAAACAACCTTTTCACCGGATTTTGATTTACTCCTACGTAAAGTTTTGAACCAAGACATTTTGTAAACAAAGACTGAACAATCAACATTTTGACATTTTGACTGACTCAAACATCTATAACATGACAAACTTTAATTTCAAACATCTGAAATGCCTGTTCAAGACCATAAACAACAAATAGTTTAAATAACCATGTTGGAAAAATATCATTAGAGAATTTCAGTGGTCCCCATAGAAATATCTCTTTTTTTCTTTTTTGTATCAGATAATACATACATACACATTGTAGAAGGCCTTTAGATTGCATAATATCCTACAAGACACAGGTATAAGTATAACAATAGCATTTGAATCACAGAGCAAGTGGAATATTGTCTTAGACAGTGTACAATTGAAAATTGGAGGGTGCAATCTAAGCTCTTCAAGCGAAGGTACCAACTTGGGTTTAGGGCAGCACAGTGTTTCATTTTTCCATTAAGGGTGTCATTTTTTTTTAAACCCTAATATAGTCATTCAAAGCCTAAAAACACAAATACCAATTGAAGGCAGTTAAACAAAAACCAGACAAAGACACATCGAGGGAAACCATATCCCTCAGGCATCATCTGACTCTAGTATCCAATGTCAGCTAAAACTAAGTGATAGCTCGTCTCCATGCTAAATGCAAAAGTGCAATGGAACATATCATTTTTAATGAAGAAAGAGTAAGCTGAGCTGAAATAAACAATCAACTTTACCTTTCTGCCATCTTCCAACAGGGGCCTTGATACTATGACCAAGATAGTTCTCCCTATGTTTATCAACTTTTACATCATCCCAAGTGAATTCTGGCCATCAAAAGTAAACCATAAGCACACGATTCACCAATACCATGTACACATAAATAATTAAAATTATATACTTAAGTTTTAATTTCTAAGCATGAATTCTGTAAACATCAGGATTTTATGGTTTAATATGATCAACCTAGGTAATTATTCTAATTCAAACAAGTATAATAATAACAATAATAAATAAATAAATAAAAAGGACAAAACCCTAATTTGCAGAAACCGTCCATAACACCAGATTGAAGGACAAAATCACGAAATTAGCAACATAGAGAGGACATTGCAAGCTTCAGTTTGACAGATTCCAAAAAACGATTCAATACCCAAAAGATAAGAGAGAGAGAGAGAGAGAGAGAATTTTGAAAAATCGAAAATTTCGTGAAATTGAATGTGTCGGGGCATGAGAAGAGAAGAAAAAACGTACGATCTCGACCGCCACGGACGCCACCTCTTGTTGGATGATACATGACTGCACCCAAACACTTTTTCTTCTCCTTCCTCCTTTTTCAAATGATTATCTTTTCAGAAAAATTATTGAACACATCAATATAAGGGTTGGATTCATTCGATTACAAATTTAAGAAATTATTTTAAGATAAAAAATTTTATAAACTTTAAAAGATTATTTACAACTATAATGACTTTGAAGATTTTTTCAAAAGAATTTTTTGTTTTTGTGTATTATTTGTGTGTCACAATATCCTATCCCATTTATTAAAGTTATAAAATTTGAAAAGATAATATAAATTTATAAGATTTTAAAAAATTATATATATTTTTAATAATATTTAAATGTGATTCTTAAAAAGGATAATTAAATAAAAAAATTAAAACTTTATGATACCTTTGCATGTTATCTGTGTGACGGAGCCTGTTTTAACAGTTAATTTTTTTTTTATTTTAAGCTATATTTTTCTAAAATAATTATTAAAATTATTTATAGTAAATGCAAATGTATTTATTTCAATTTAATAAATCATAAAGTGAAAAGCTGGCATATGCATTGTCCAATGGGCATTGTTCTTCTACTCCTTGTGTTGTCAACTAGTAACTTACATTCGATATGCTACGAGAATACTTAATATTGTTGAGTAGATGCTCTTTTAACTCAGTGACAAAAGCAAGTTATGCAATAGATTTCTTTTTTAGTTGTTATTCAATTAATAAGTATTGAAATTTTGTTTCTCAATGTGTGCCTAACATGATTCATAAAAAGTCTTGAAGTTTTTTTATCGGCAATATACTATTTATTAAATATGTTTATCATCATTGTATTACCAGTGCTACGATTATATATAAAAAATATAACACTTCATTAGAGACAATAAGCACAACCATAAATTATCAGTTAATCATGAAGAATAATATAAGGAGGAATGCCAAAAACCAGAGAAAATGTATGAGAGTAAAAAAAAACATATATTGACTTTGAGAAAATATTAGGATAGATTATGAGACACTGCAGTAAAGAAATCTCACTAAATCCTAGGGGTTAGAGTGAGATATGAGAGAGACATGTTATTTATACTTCTCACTAATAAGTCTCACAAAATGCACACTAATAAAAAATTCATTAAAATCGTCAGATTTTTTTAATACCATGGTATTTTTTTCTTTTGTTTAAAATTCTCATTGAATACAATTGGATTTGGACAAACTCTAAAATTATCATTTAAAATCCTAATCAAATACCACTTGACTTTTTTACAATTCTAATTGAATACCAATGGTTTTTTTTCCCCCTAAAAATAACCCATTAAAAGTCTATAAATCCAATATACCTCCTTAAGAATCAATTTTATGATATATAATGAAAATTATGAGGGAGAAATTGAGTGATTTTTTAATTTAAATTTTGGGTTAGGCATAATGTTATTACTAAATAATGTTACTACCAATGGCACTATCATATTTTAACCGTTGATTTCCGTCAATCAACAGATATTATTTCCACAAATCAAACTCATTAAATTATTAATTCGCAATAAATGATAACCATTTATTGGCGGAAATCAATAATTAAGATATGATAGTAACATTATTTGGTAGTAACAATATTTTATCCCCTTAAATTTTAAGTAAAAAAATACTAGTTTCAACTAAAATGACAATTCTTTAAAAAGATCAACATTGATCCCATTATTTATTATAATAATATATCATGTCAGCTCATGGGCTTTTAAGCCAAGCCTAATTTAATTAGGCTTGGTCTTCCTTGCTAAACAAGTTTTTTTTAAAAGTTTGAGCCCGTGCAATTTATTAAATAAGTCAGATCAAGTCAAGTTTAAAGCAAGTCAAGTTTAAAGCAAGCCAAGTCTTGGGCTCCTAATAAGTCACTCGGTCCATTTACACCCCCACCCATGATTCCTATTGTGTATCTTTTTTCTCTCGCTGAAGAGGACACAATTATACTTGAAGTATAATTGAACTTGAAGTTCAAAATATCATTAACTTGCAAATTTTAGCAAGATAAATGCCAAATATTTTTGATCACAAAAGAGTGACTAAGTCTCATATTCTGCAGAAAATAAGCTACCTGTAGTGGCGAATTTAATGAGAATTGAGACTAGTCAATGCAGAAAATGTGGATGAGACTAAAGATATAAATTCGCATAAATGAAAATAAATCACTCATTGTGCCTCCTGAAGAGGGCGAACCAGGTGAAATAAATGTAGCTGATAATTGCAACAATCATCATGAAAAACGATGAAGATTTGGTTGATGATGATACAAGTGTTGCAATACACTATAATGATTTAGGAGAAAAATATGATAATATCATTTGTCGCTCATAACACCTTTGCCTTCTTAGTAGCTCTTGTTGTCTCAAAAGAAAATTTTGATCTAGAACCAAAATTATTCAAGAATGCCAGAAGTATTCATATTAGAATGAATGGAAGAAGGCAATTAAAAAATAATAAAGGTTTTCGCAGACCCTACATCAATTATGATTTTTATTCTCCTGAAATGAATTATAGTATGTTCCGTTATGATCAGTATGGAAACTAGGAAGCATCTTGAAATGCATTTAATGGAGATCGTGACTACATGGTCACTTGATGATGATATTCATGAAAATCCCTGAAAAAATCTCCATACCCTGTATGGAAAAAATGAAATTCTCAGAATGTTTAGCACCGAGCTACAAAGATCATTGCATGATGGTCTCAAACAAATTATTGTCTCGTCCTACAAATCGAGCATCTTCAAAAAAGTTATTTTATTTCACCAATATTACTATATAAGTGACCCAACGATTTTCCATCACTAGAAGTGAATATAGATTCTTTTAGACGAAAAGTAAATAACGAGAAAGGATTAGGACCTGAAGCTCTTAATCTTAAGCGTCATAAGAACACTACTATATTTTGCAAATTGCAACATGTCCGATATTGCATTTGCAGAAAAAGTTCTGGCTAGACATAGTGTTGCCTCTTGAGAAATTGGAATGACGTTAATCAGATTTTGGTTATCTTCAAGGATCCATCCATAATATAGAGATTTTGCATTGGTGAAATATTTTGATGCTGACTATATAATCTCATATTAAATATGAATTTATTCGTGGAAGCACTACAATGTTATGGAGCTTTAAAAACTAAAGCCTAGTCGCCAATTCCTTAATAGTTTAATTTCATCATGGGTCGCGAATTAATCATGACTATCTCTTAAGGATGTAGCCGTGAAAGTTTATTATTGTACTCTTTTTTCCTTTGCCAAGTTTTTTTTCCCCAAGGGGTTTTTCTTGGCCAGAGATTTTTAACGAGGCAGTTTATATAATGCTTTGATAGCATATGTCATGTACTCCTTTTTCTTCGCTAGTTTTTCCTATTGGTTTTTGTAGCAAGTTTTTAACGATGCATGAACTCAGCGCAATGATGTGCAATGAGAAGTATCATAGATGGACGCTATTGATCCTGTTGATTTAACATTATTGCAATTTATTATAGAAGATTACAGTATAGATGTTATGGAAAATAGTAAATGTTTCTCCGCTTCCGTAGCTTCAGCGGTAGCTTTACGGTTCAATTGAGGGGGAGTTATACACACTGCACTCTTTTTTCCTTTACCAAGTTTTTGTCCCATTGGATTTTTCTTGGAAAGATTTTTAACAAGGCAGTCTATATTAACATATGAAAGGTGGCATGTTAACTATGAATATTGTACTCTTTTTCCTTTGCTAAAGTTTTTTATCCTATTAAATTTTTCTTATTAAGGTTTTAACGAGGCATATCCATAATGTATAGTCATTCAAGGAAGAGTGTTGTAAAATATGGATAACTTAAATCATGTTACCGTTATGCAATTATGGATGACTTACATAATGTTATCGTTATGTTACTTCAAGATAGTCATAACTCATGTTACTTCAAGATATAAATCATAATAAAATCGCTATTAGAATGGTACCCTAATAAGAATGTTTCAGATATTCCATAAAGATATAAATTGAAAAAGATCTTGCATTAATATTTTCTCTACGAAAGTGTAACATCAATTGCTTTGAAAAAATTAAAAAATAAGGTCATAGATTCGGATCCAATAATTACAAATGCAACAATAATAGATATGAATGCATTAATAATAAGTGAATTGTATTACTAAATAATTTGTGTGAATGCATTAAAAATAAGTGAGAGTGCAATTAGCAAAAAATAATATAAAAGTATTATAAATATAATTTAACAATAAGCATATTAGCTTAAAAATATTTTCATTATATAACCTCTAGATTACGAATATGGTTTAGTTGATCAGTTGAGCTTCGTATACGTAAGTATTTACCTCTGAAGCATGGAATTTGAAATTCACTAAAAACATCTTATGATCAAGGCCTAGCTAACGTCTAAGGAGAGGTTAGTCCCAATGTTAAAAAAATATAAAGAACTCTTTTTTTATTGTAAACTATAAAGATACCTTTTAATATTTAAAAAAGAAGTCTGAAAATATTTTTTGCATAAGATATTTAAAATTCGGTAAAAATCTTGTAATAAAAAACATTTAAATAATATTTTCATCAGATTTAACATTATAATGAATTTGTTATTTCAATAACAAAAATTTGCGAAAGGCATTTGTGGATAGCACTCACAAAGCACTAAATAAATGTGACACAATAAATGAAATAAATGAGTTAATAAATCATTGAAAAAAGTATCTGATGGTACTTTAGACAATTTTGTTTAATGTTCACCGAAACAACGACAGGTTGAAAAATTAAAAAAATTGAAATTATAAAGACTATTATAACCCTGAAATAAATCAAAATTACAAATACACCATAATTTCTGCCCCAAAACAATGTCGTTTCGGTGAACATTAAACAAAATTGTCTAAAGAAATTTTACAAAAAATGAACCCATAAATCATATACCATTTTCCTCAACTTTATTTTGGTATAGGTTTTATACCATAAATTTGATCACAAGTTATTATACTAAATGCACTCAACTACAAAATATTATACTAAATAAATGTTCCACAATAAATGAGATAATAAATCATATACCATTTACCTCAACTTTATTTTG